ATTAAATACACTTACATTTAAAGTTTCTTTAAAATACGTTAAAATATTAAAAATAAACTACAAAAATTATTTGATAAAGTGCAAATTAAAATATAGTTGTATCTGCAAATATATTTGATAATGTTTTGAACTTTTACAATACTGCATGATAGAACCAGAAGCTGCTCTTCATATTAGTGACAAACAACAGTAACAACAGCTTTTTGACAAGTTTAAAGTTTCTTTAAAATACGTTAAAATATTAAAAATAAACTACAAAAATAATTTGATGAAGTGCAAATTAAAATATAGTTGTATCTGCAACTGTATTTGATAATGTTTTGAACTTTTAAAATACTGCATGATAGAACCAGAAGCTGCTCTTCATATTAGTGATAAACTTTGGCCTTATTTGACAGGTTGCTTTCATTTTTGCTTCTACTTTTAATTTAAAATAAGTTTCCATTCTCGGCAGGTTTCTAAGGTTCTTCTTCTACATATTAAAAAAGTTGTTAAACATCTGAGTGGCACACTACTGCTACTAGTGGAGAGAAAGTGTATTGCACCTTGTTCAAAATCAATGCGGTCCCGCGGCCCTCTGCGGCCCAAAGTTAAAAACTGTGGTTCTTTGGAGGCCCTCAAGGTGGCGCTTGCGGCCCACAATTGGGCCGCGGCCCATAAATTAAGAATCTCTGATACTAGATTGGGCGTCACGTGATCTGGGGGATTACAGTAAGTTTCCCATGTAAATAATATGCATATTTAACCAATGAACTATTTTAACTGTAAAACCTGTATGCTAACATTCAAAATGCCTCAACATTCATGTTTAACCTTTTTTAGATCCAATTATCAGTTGTCAAACATACTATTTACTGGTATTAAACCAGTCAAATATGGAGTTACTGTATACTGGAGACAGTTATTGGTCAGCTGGGAATGTTTACCTCTGTGTTGCATCAGCTATCCTTTTAACAACACTCAGTAAGTGTTTGAGAACTGAGGATACTAAATGTTGAAGCTTTGTTGGTGGAATTCTTTCCCTTTCTTGCTTGATGAATTACATTTGCTCAACAGTCCAAGGGCACTGTTGTCGTATTTTATGCTTCATAATGTGCCACACATTTTCAATTCAGTTCAATTCAATTCAGTTCAACTCAATTCACATATATATACTGCTAAGTCACAACAAATGTCTCATGGCACTGTACACAAAACACCATAAATCTAAAGAAGCCAGCAGATGGTGTTGAATCTTCACTTCCACAGACATCACATGTCTGTTACTAAGAGAACTTAGGTTAATGAAGGTAGAGGAAAAAAAGCTATTCTGCCCCTGCCGGCAGGGGCACAGGGGTTAAGAGGTAAAGGTAACACTGACTCTCAGTAGAATCCATGCCGTTTGTCCAAAATTTTCAGAGATCAGCAGATAATGATATGCATGACATCACAAGTGAAGGTCGTCATTGTTGAAAAGCATTTTTTAAACTGTATCTGCTCACGCAGTTGTTCACAAAGTGGTGAACCTCACTCCATCCTTGCGTGTGGACGACTGAGCCTTTCAGGGATGCTCCGTTTATAATCATGACCCTCACCTGTTTTTATTTAACCTGTTCACCTGTGGAATGCTCCAAACACGTGTTTTCTGAGCATTCCTCACTGTCCTTGTCTTTTGCAGCTCCTTTCCCAGTTTTTTTGGAACATGTTGCAGGCATCAAATTCAAAATGAGTGAATATTTGAAGAAAAAAAAAACATTCATTTGTTGAACATTAAATATCTTGTCTTTGTAGAATATTAAATTGAATATAGGTTGAATAGGATTTGCATATCAATATTCAACCTTTATTCAAGTTGTCCCTGGAATCGGAGTTTACATTTAGCTTTCTGATCATAAGCAGCCTGTAAAGTTAGTGTTGGTGTCTTAAACCTGGAAACTTGGTTGAGGAGGCCCTGTGATCTCATGTAGACCCTTAAATGGAGATTATTTTAGAGAAGCAGCTTGTTTTGGGGCCCTGAAGCCCCCCAGGCAGGCTGCGCAGCAGCATCATGTTTTTGATCTCAAGGGTCCAACCATTTGGATTTTTTTGCCAACTTTGATCTCTGCAGTCGTCCAGCTTCAATGCAGCTTAACCCTTATCGCTGTCAGACCAGAGACCACCGAGCATCTGACAGATTTCTAGGCAAGTTGCTTTCCCCCAGGTTATTTCCAACATGTAATCCATTGCAAACGATCGCAGATTACACATCAGATGGTTCAACTATTAACATAAAGGAATGCTTGTTAGATGGTTCTTCAAAAAATCATCACTTCTGACTTCTTATAGGAAAATAAACCAGTGGATTATTTCTTGTATTACTATATTTTGTCCCTGAAACAACAGACAAAAACCTGGAAAGGACTGAATCTTCATATTGTTTCTGTGATGAATCCTTCAGGGAATCCTCAGCATCAGG